CAGGCAATTCCATTTAACGCCGACGATCTATTAATTTACCAATATTTTTTATATACATTTGCGTGTGCATATGCATGTATTAGTGGGTAGAGTATAAGTGATGGCAAGTATAAATAAGTTGATGTACTCTTGTATATACATATGTATGTATATGTGTATGTGTGCGGTTTGTTTGTATTAAATTGAAGCATTTGGCATATAGGCAATGTTGTTCTTCTCACTCGAACATGTCACTTTCAATCAACTGTCAAATGGAAATGTCAAAATATCGAAAAACCGAAAAATAAACAACAGCAACAACAACAACGACAACAACAACAGCGAAAATGGATGATTGTATGGCATGGCGGCTAAATGTCGGTGGGTAATACATACATACATATATGTATGTGGAAGATGTATGTATATATGTCTGATGTAGATATAAATGAACATATACATACATACACAACATACATATATGTATGTATGTAAAACAAACATATCCAAATCATATTTCCGTTGGATAAGAAGCGGAGAAAGGTAAAATATAACGAATATGTAAATATATAATATGTATGTCTGCAGCCTTTTATATACGTACATTTGTATATATGCATGCATATAAGCATGCACTTATGACTGTTTGTAATTTACGCAAACAATAACAAAATGAGTGATCGAGCGGAAAAAAAATATTTATCGAGACTAAACAAATATTGGATTAGAAATATACCAACAAACAAATACCACTACAACAAAAAAAAAAACATTCGCATTACAGAAGTCTACTTATTTAATAAGTAAGGCAAACTAAGCTCGAGCGGTTCGGGCAACTGGATGTGGAAAAAAAATTAATTAATTAATTAAAATGACTTCTACATTGGGGTCAAGCCGCCCTGTGGATCCACGTTAGTCATTTTCAGCGTGATTTCAAAAAAATATTTACAATTTTCGTCTTTTCACGTATGGTACCGATGGAAAGGCTCGTCAGAGCTGAGACAAAAGAATTTACTTTCGGGTCACTTACATATGTATGTCCTCATGTCCATGGAAAAATTTTCGTCTGTCATAAAAAGTGTTACGAGGATATCGTACTTACATTAAGGAAATTAAGAACAAGTAACCAGTTAGGCATACATACATACACGTACATATAATGGCAGCGAAAGGAAAGAGCAGTAAAAGAATAAACAGCAAATGGCAAATATTGGAAAAATCGCCCAAAACTTCGGTCTATCGCCTTTGCTCTGCTGTGGGTTATGTTATTCTAAGTGGCGCACTTGTTGGTGGATTTCTAACTGAGGCACTTACACATGTACTGATGACTGATGGCTGGACGGAATGACGCCTATCTGCACGGTTTGACTGCTTTCTGACTTGGTTTAATGGTCTGCGCTGTTGTAATTTTTAGTAGCGACTGTGTCTCTGTTTAGACCAATCAATCAACCAACCAGTCAACCAAATCGATAAAAATAATAAAAACAAAAACAATGTTGTTATATATCTCGCCACAGACGGCAGTACTATGCATTTTTGACTCTGCATATCTTTATGTACTTACGAGTATATACATATGTATGTATGTAAGTGTGAAAAAACAACAGAAAAAAGCATTAAATGAAATGTGTAAAAGTACAAAAAATTTAAAAGTAAACAGCATTAAAAATAATAACAACAACACAGTACCAAAGAAACGGCAATTCACTGGTAACCCTTCAGTAAAAGCCTAAGCCACTTTGCAAATATTATAGTTAAATACTAGTATTTCTCAGATGATATTATACCAGTTTGCTATTACTAACGGCTTCCTCCATCACGTCCATCTACTGGTATTTAACTAGAACAAAGCAGATGCATTGAGAGTTAACGTAAAAAAGAGGGAAAAAGTTATAGACACCATCAAAGTGTGGTTACTTATATGCCTCGGCTACGTAACGATGATGGACGAGGAGAGAGCGCAGAAGAGAATTGAAGAACCAACATCGTACCCCTCTAAAACAAAGGAAATACCACGATCAAGATGGATTGACGGATTCAAGAGAGATATGAAGAAAATTAGCATTAAACGCCACATGCAGCAAGGGAGCTGTAGCGCCAGTCGCTAACTTGGAAATACGGTGAAAGACAAACTAGTCAGCGTAGAATGCCGCTTCTAGTTAACAACTAGTGTCTGTCCGTACGGGATATGTGTGTATGTCGCACTGGTACATGCGAGTATGTGCAAGCTATCGACAACACAACACAGCATAAGGTGGAAGAAAAGTGAAGGCTGTCAAAGTTTGTTCGGTACCGAAATCGTCGATTGTTTTTGGGGTGTCACGAGCTCAACGCTAACAAGAAAAGTTTTATTTTTTGTCATTACTTCGGTATGAAAGTAAGTGTCGTTTTCATTCTCAGCAAAACATTCACTTTCCTAATTACAATTTTAAGTAATTAAACTCCGTTAGGCCCTTATAGAGTGCCCCACTGCATGAGACTGACACAAGAGATGGATTGTATAGAAGAGGCAAAGATTTCCAAATGACTTTAGAGACGAAGGTTTCAGGATGGATTACTCGTAAGATACGTAAGGGCATTGAACGTAGGGAGAAAAGAGAGTAGAGAATATCGGAATGTTTTTGGAAAAGGGAGTTCCCGCATAAAGAGATGAAAATGAAGAATAAGATCGATTTGCTTGATCCGAGTGTGATATGTAAACCGAAGAGGACTTCAGCGAGTCATCACCGATGGGTTTTTCGCTCTTCCTTTTGTTATTCCTTGCTTAAATCACTTTGAAGAAGCACAGAGCCAGCTGAAGACATTGGATTGAGCCAATTATCCCATGGAGTAAGAAATCGATCAAAACTTATTCACACCAACAACAAATTATCTCTACAATCTCTCCACTTTGTACCCAAGTCACTTATAAAACGTCTATGGCAATCACCTGCAGTCGTGGTAAAAAAATAATAATAAATAAACTCAACCAACAACAAAAAAGGTAGAAATAGAAATAGGCAAACACAAACAAATGAAAGTAAAAACTCGTTACAAAGCAATTCGATTTAGTACGTTTGGTGCAAATGCTATTACAACAAGTTCTCGCCTCTGTTGTCGAGTTGCCGGTTTCCATTACTTTTCAAATGCGCTTGCACATGTGTGTGTGTGCGCGCGAGTGTGTGTTCGATTGAATGTGGCACCTTTATGTGCCTGTCTGCCTGCATTTCAACTCACTATGGAGGCAATGTGTCGCACTGCACTTTACGGCGATGTGTTTGTTTATTCGCAATAAAAATAAGCAACAACAATAACAACAATAACAACTAATATAACAAACAACGTAGCAATGTTACGTTAGAAGACAGCGTGTGTGTATGTGGAGGGAGAGCTGGAAAGAGCGAAAGAAAAGTCAAACAAACACGAATTGATTGCAGCTGACATTTGACGTTTGTTGTTGTTGGCAATTGTTGCGTCGAACTAACGGGCGGACCGTCGAAGCGGAGAAGGCGCATACACTCGCAACAACTTGCCCCACAATAGTTGCAACAATCTTTCAATGCGCGTTATCGACAGTTGTGGCATTGACTTGGCAATATGCACCCGCGCCTTCAGACTCTTATGCATACATACATACATTCGTGTATGCTCATACATAATAAGAATAAATATATGTACATATAAATGTGTGGATAAATTTGGAATTGCTGTTGCTTCTTTACTTTGACAGTTTGATGTTTTTTGTTTTTTTCTTCTTGCTTGCCGCACAGGCTGTCAGCGTTGCCGGTAATGACAGTCTTGTAAGAGCAAAAACTATGAAATACATGTACGCATATAAATAATAAATATTTTAAATTCATTTTTTTTTAATATATTTTTAAATCTTTTTGATTTTAGCTTGATTGAATTTTTTTTTTAATTTCAGTTCACTTTATTTTATATTAAAGTATTTTATTTTATTTTTTAATTTTATTTTTATTTAGCTTCACTTAATTTAAGTTTTTTTTTATTTAATAATTTATTATTACATTTTCTCGTTTCATTTCAATTTATTTCGTTTTTATTTCATTTTCAGTTCTTCGTTTCGCAGTTGAAAATTTTTCCTACTGGGTCACTACATACACCACAGATATATATTACACACACCATTATGCACATCCATCCATTTTATGGATGCAATCATCAACTGTTTTGATGCCACAATTTCGTTGCCACCGACGTGCTCAGGTGCCGCTGCCTTCTTTGTATTCCTTCTACATTTTATATTTTAAATCTATGTATGCAGTTGTGTGTGTGTGTGTGTGTGTGTGCACTGCGCTGCATATGCATCCGTAAGGTGATTGTGCATTAAAAATACAATTTGAAAAATAAATATGAAAAATTACAACGCCAAGCCAAATAACAACTATAATACACTTTAAAATCTAAAAGTCAAGTTATAACAAAAGCAACAACAACAAGAAAATTACAGCTACGTTTGACATGAATATAAAGGCAATACAAAATTGGAAAATCGACTCAAGTGCGATGGTTTTTTTTTATCTTTTTTTCAAGTAGTGACAGCGTAGGTGTAAGAGGTTGGCTGATTGGCTGGCACAGTGGGATGAGTAGGACAGTTTTACGAATAATTATACAAATATTATAAATTTTTGAAAGTAATTAACGATAATTTTTCTTGAAAATAATTTAAAATTTTGGAAATAAAAAAATTTCAGTTTAAAGAAAAAATATATACATTTACGATATATGCCTATTTAAAAAAAAACAAAGAGTTCACTAAATTTAAATTCCTAAAAGCACTTATTTATTAAATAAGAAAACTCTCTGTTAAAAGTTATTAATTCGAAAATTTTTTAAAACGCTTTGAAATTGAAATTAAAACTGTAGATTTTAACGTATTCAAAAATATTAAATTTTTTTGAGCAATGTGATATTTTTCTAAAATCATTAATCTTGTAAAGAAAAAAATTAATTTATTGAAAAATATTTTATAATATTTTTTACTCAATTTTCACTTAAAACTGACCCACTGTGCCCACTATGTACGGACACCGGCACAATATCCACTTGTTGTTGCTGCACTACAGCTCGCAAGCACTTGAATTTCAGATGAGTGTACGCGGTTGCTACGCTTTGACTAGTCTACCATATTAGCGTTATGCCTACACCGTCATAGCGAAGGCGAGGCAACGTAGGGAAGGCAGCTGAGCATAAGCGAGCGCTTCAAATGTCACACATAAAGCAGAACTGCAGTTGTATACTCACACGCACACACACACTCAAAGATATTCCTGTATGACTGGAGTGGCAAAGAACGACAGGAAAGCGGCGCCGGCATGCGGGTGCACTATGAGGGCAGGCAGCTCACATACACGCACACCCACATACATGCATGCAGAAGAGCAGCTGTAGCAGAAGTGCAGAAGCGGTGCAGGATTGGCGTTGGTGCGGGTGGTGCATTTATTTTGTTATCTCTTTTACTTTTTGCTTTTACTGTAAATGACGATTTGGTCTGTATTGTTGTTGCTTTTACATTAATTTCGTTTGCCTTTTTTTCTTCTTTTTTGTACTTAATTTTTATATCTATTTTGGTCTTTAAAAAATTTTTTTTTAGTGTCTGCTTTTGTGTTTGGAATATTTTGTTCTTGTTTTATTTACTTTATATGTATTTTTCACTTGAAGTTGTTGCATGTTTAACTGGGTGTCATAGATGTCAAAATTTATGTGTTGTGCCACATTTGAATATAAAATAGCTGCACCAACACCGCTAACAACAGCAACAACAACAACAACAAAAGCAAAAGCGAAATCAAGCACAACATTCACAACGACAGACGGCAAACAGCAAACGGCCGTTATACGCTCGTAAATGCGCTGCTATTCTTTGACATTACCTCAAATGTTGTTGTGTTTTCATTAATTGTGTTGTTGTTCTTTTACATTTTTTGAGGTGCTAGCAATATATTGAAAACGCTCATAATTATGTTGAGACATAAAAGATTTTTTAATGAGTCTCAAATCATGTGCAATATGAAAGCAGTTTGTTGGCATTAAGTGTTCGTTTCGAAAGCATATACATGCATACATACAGATACCTACATATATGTGTGGAGCTGTCAATGCTCAAATATATATGCACGTCCATTTGGTTATTTGAATTTAGACCTTAATTAATTCAAATATATATTTTTTGAGCCGCAAACGTAACGTGAAATCCATTGAAGTTTTGCTGCTGACTGATGGTCATTAGGGTGCTCCTTGCTATGTCTTTTAGTATTACAGAAGCTTGATATGCTTATTAAATTTTATATGTAACTTGCTTTTGGTTCGTTTATGAATAATTGAATAATATCATAAATACATAATAAAAATTAATTACAAAATTTATATCAAAATAAAAGTTTAAATAAAAAATACTAAAAATAAAATTGTTTTTTTGAATTTACAACTGATTTAATTAATTTTGGCGCCTTTTAAGCGTTCAAGCAATTTTATGGCGAGCTTTTCGCCATCAAACGGCTGTTCGACTTTTATTAGGTGCCTTTTTCAAGTCAAAAATGCGCCCAATAATTAAAATTAATTCCCTTTAGCATATTTTCAGCATATTTTTGTTTTTAATTGTTAAAAGGATTTTCAATTCACAGGAGAAATATTCGTAAAAAATTTTCTTTTTTTTATTTGCATATAGATTTTCAACAGATTTGTTTTTGTTTAATAAATATTTCTAAATTTGAGAAATTTGTTTATTTAACCTTAGATCATTTATTTTCGTACAAAATTGTACATACGACGAAAGTGGTTTTGGCTATAGTTTCGATATTAGCACTTTCTAACAAGTAAAAGAATTTAGGTTACGTATACGCAATGGCGTATAAATAATTCACGGACTTTTTAAAATTAATAAAATATATTAAGCATTAAGCAATAGTTTTATATTCATAAATTTTTATACTTCTTTGACTACGCTATGACCTTATATTGCCTTAAATTATTGCATAAATCGGCTGTTATAGGCAATAAAGTAGATAAGCAAAAGTTCACTTTTCTTCAATAATTTACGCAATAATAGTTTTATTTTCCCCTTTACAATCTCGATGTGTGTTTAGCTTAATTTCAGTTTGTTGTTTGTGATTATTTCTTCTATTGTTCATTGATGTTGATGTTGCTCTTAATCCAATTGTCTACTGTCCCTGCCAGAGAGTTTGTCTTCGCTACCAAACACATTGCTTATAACGTGGCTTAATTGCAAATATTCGGAAATTTAATGACTAGATATACATATTTATATGTATATGTATATTTAAAATTGATTTTACAAACAGACTAATACATACATATATATATGCGTGTGTGTGTGTATGGAAATGGCAAATAAACCGAATAACCGAAGTAGTAATCATCACGGAGCCATCAATTAAGCAAAATATCCCAAACACTTGAACGGTGTAATTTTGCAAATTGTGAACCCAGCAAACACAAGCACAGCATTCACAAATATTTCTCAGCCTGAGAAACTCAAAGAAACTTTACTTAAAAAGCTGAAATCTGAATCACGTGAGACTCATATTTGACCAAAGTTCGGAATAATTTGTACTTCTTTTATTTCTAATCCGAAGATGAAATATTTGATAAATTTTTTATACTTCTTAAATGTAATTTGATAGTCAGTTTGATAGTTATTTTGAAACACACTTAGATTTCTAACAATTTTGTGGCCGAGAACTAGTTAAAAGTGAATTAAGATGAGTCACACATATCTATGAAAGCTTTGTTTATGACTCATTCAAAAGAAAAAGATGCGCCTGTAAACCAGAGTAATGTTTTTCAAGGAAAACTGGCGTCAAGTGCAACAGTACTGAGTCCTGAGTAAGCTTTCGGTTTCGAACTTACATAAATGTAGTTTAAAGACTTATGATTAGTCCAAGTGAACAGTTCACTTTGTCCGAATATAATCAGCATCCAGGATTTATTTTAAGGCCTAAAAAGAGTTAAAAGTGAATCAATATGAGCAAACGGGTCATTGTGGACAACTAAAGATTTCTTTTCGGTCAAAAATCACTTCAAGCGAATCAATAATTAGTCATCATCGTGATTCGGAGAAGAGTCATTAATGGCTCACATTCAAATTAAAGCCGCACATCAAATATAAACTCGTCTTAGGGCTTCGCTATAATACACTTTTGTGTATATAACTCGGTTGATTTGAGTTAGAAATAAAGCGATGCATTTACTACTCCAAGTGCTTGCTGGGTATAAACACGCATACATATATGTGCTTACCGAGTACATGATCAGCGTCGGACAATGTGAGGAACTCATTAACCAAGTGGACTAAAATTAATAAGGTTTCAGATAACGTTTAGTAAATACTTACCTAAGACTAGCTGTGTATGTTTGTATGAGCTAACGTTGAAAGGGAGTAATATACATATATATTATATATCAATATATATAACGCACATATATACATATATACTATACACATAAATACATATTTATGAATATCTTACGCTTTGTTGTTGCACATGAGCTCTGATGATTGAGTGTGTAAACTATGTATGTATATAGTACCGCAATTTCCGTCTTGTTGTTTTTGTTGTTGCAGTTTTGTTTGAACGCTGCTTACAACTAACCATACGAGTATAAAGTGCTGACTTTGCATGCTGCCAATAACAACTGAATCGAATATTCAGCTGAAAATTGATTTATTTGCAAGTGTTGGGGAGCGAGAGTGGTAAGCAATCAGCTTAATATCCATCCAGCACACACAACTACACATACCATAAAAGATATACAAACAACAAGTATTTCAGCTAATACCTATTCATCTGTAAATAAATGTATTTATATAACATATTTTATATAGGTATATGCATATGTATGTGTATATGCAGATGTGCCACTGTGCGCTTGTAATATATACATATATATATATTATATAAGCATGTAGCTTGTAGCTGAACCTGTCATGTTTGCATTTTGTTGGTATATGAATATAATCGATGTTTTAATTTCCTGTTGAAACGCAAAAACGACGGAATAGCCGACAGTCAGGCAATGCCACAAGAGGCATAGCAACAGCCAAGTACAAAGAAAGGGCAACAACAATCAAAGTAGTTGGCGTAGTAGTAGTGAAAACAACACTCGAAGTAAGAATAAATTTAACAGCAAACACCAACAACAATGTTTAAGAAAAACAGATTACAAAAGCAACAAGAAGTAAAGTCTATAGTTTAATACAGCACCACACCAAATGCAGAGACAGAGAGAGAGAGAGAAAGAGAGAGAGTGAGGAGAAAAAACCCAATTATTTCACCATAACAACAAATAACCACAATTTATGTAATTTAATGTTGCGCCCTCTTATTATAATGTATTATTATCCTTGACAAAGTGATTATTATTATTATTTTATACGCGCAAAGACACACATAACTATATACGAGTAATGTACGTGTATGTGCGTATGAAATGTGCTCGTAAGTTAAATTTTTTTCAACAAACTCACACGTAAAGAAATCATTCATCATTGTAAGCCTGGCGGTGAGCAGTGTGATGGAGTCGGGCGCAACTGGCGTTTAGCTGGTCGAAATCCGCTTCAAGGAGTTCATGTCCGCTTCATTTTTTGTTGAGACACTCCAAACATACATATGTATGCATGTATACTTAAGTATCTACATTTATCTTGGTGCGATTATGCGTAGAGTAACAATAATTTCTTACATGAATAACCCGAATAATTATATTTTATTACATAAAGGATACGGGATAGTGAGTATTTCTGTTGGAAGACTGCAAAATATTGAAATTCTTCTAAGAAACAATTACTCATTCTCACGGCTTTAGCAAACTCTATGAGCGTTGTTCGAAAACCTCTTCGGTCATCCAGGAAGACGGTCTTCTTTGAGACCCTTTTAAATGTCTTTTTATTTATTCACTAATCTACTATAATACACCATTGTAGGCTAAGCAAAAATATTCACAACAGAATTTTAAATTAATTGGTTTGCAATCTTTTTGGAAATCTTATCTAAATAAAGAGCACTTGCCTCACTCTTTACATCATATTTCTAAGGCGTATTGGAAAGAGAAGTTTTACTGGCAAATTTACGCTGCAGAGAAAAGTGAAACTAGTATGTAAATATTATAGCTAAATAGCAAAGTAAATAGTATAGGCTAAAAATTATGCTGAATCGTTGCCTTTTAGAGAACCTCTGGCAGCGAATTAATAACTGTTCTATTCGGTCGTCACTCTTTAAATTGCTAAAAGAGCCAAGTGCGAAGCGCCATATCATATATGAGATTCACGGCCGAACTTCTTCCTCGTCATTCCGTTTTACATTTTTCTGGAATGACGAAATTCAACACGCACAAACGAACTGGTATTTAACTAGTATATATTTTCTTTTTGTCGTGAAAAGAATATCAGTCACTAAAATGAGTGAATAATGGTAGAGCTTGTGCAAGAGAGCAGACTGGTATCCAGAAATTCAGCTCACAACTAGTAAATTTCCCGATTTTAAAGTTTTCCCCATAAAATGTAAAAAAATTACGAAGACTGCTTTGCGGAAGCTTAAATTTAGATGAAAATTCGATATAAATGAAAGTGAAAGGAGACAAAAAGAGGTTTCCTAGCACTGTTATTGTTTTTATATTCAACTTTGTTATTCGGCGTTAATTAAAATTATTTTCAAATTTTTCTGCGTTTAACAAGGCACTTCAAAAACCATATTTGCATGAACAAACTTTATTTTAACTACGCATTAGTGAAAGAAATAAATAGTAAAAATATTATTACAGTAGAATAATAAATAAAATAATAAATCCTTTCAAAGTTTAATGGGAAAAATTAGGTTTTTAATACTAGAAAATAAATTCAATTGAGAACTTTCCTTTCATGCTTAATGCGTTTCCATAACAATTTTAAAATGAATTGCAATGAATATGATATTGTAATAAATTGTTTGAAATAAATAAATAATTTAAAATTTATATTTTCATTCCACTTCTGCATCAGCACCCAAATCCCATGAAATGAGCACAAATTCAAAATAAAATTGAAATCAATGATGTCAAGCCACCACCAACAAACGGAAATTAATCCTGTTGAGCTGCTTTTTCATTAAATTGCCAATAACTCCACTTTAAATGGGCTTTACACTCGCGCACACATACAAGCGCGCACGCGAATAAACAACGCCACAAACAAGCGCACCGACGGCAGCTTTAAATCACTTCTCGTTGATTGAACAGGGCCAAATGTCGCCATTCACAGCGTGTGATTAAAGGATAATAATGCAAATACTTACAAGCAAAAGACCGCGCTCGAACGTAAATCAATTCCCAACTGATGATGAAAATACAAATAGCGAACGCACATACACACATACACACACACACACACACATACGCGCGTAAAGTGAATGCGGAGGGAACTATGCAAAGCATTGGTAAGCGATATTTATGTCGTATATATGTATGCACGAGTATGATGGTTTGTATGTCAGCACGTGCTGTATAACAAATTTACATGCCACAGCGACAGAGGTATCATGTCATGCTATGTATGTACTCGTACATATGTACTGATGCCACGCCAAGCCATGCTAAGTACATAGGTATGTATATGTATATTATGTATGCGTTCCACTAATATTAACGACAAATTTTCAATATGTACCATTGAGAGTGCAAGTGAAATTGCTTATGTAAGCATATTATAAGATGCACATATATATGTATTTGTATGTGTAATTCAGTGTGTGTGTGAGTGCGACGCACAAGTTCATTATGTCAACAGGCAACAAACAAATTTTCATAATCAATTTTCGATTTAGGTTGCGCGTTTCCTATTTCAACACCGATTCGCTTAAATACACAAGCCAAAACCAAGGGTAAACAGCAGAAGCCACCAACGGACGTACCAGCCAGCCCAAGCGGGCATAGAAAATTTCCCTAGAGATTGCTGGGAAAGTCACTCCGCTGAGCCGCTGAAAAATCGAGTGAGCTCGGGCCGATGAGAAGAGATAATAATTAACGCTGGGAAATTGAAAGAAAATAAGCTCTGCATAATAACAATGAAAACGAGCCGTGTGCGCATAAGACAACAAACAGTGGCAGCAACAAATGAGAACCTTACGTTTAATACCAAACGATAACTATGTTAAAGCGCTGACTGATAAGAAATTGAAAATCAATCCTCTATTTCACCCAAGGCATGGCCTGCAGGCGTCTACATTGTTTTTGTTCCTATACCCAACTTTTCTTTGTTCAGGAAAAAACCCGTTGAAATTTGTTAAAAATATACCAGCACACGATTGCACGGGACATACTAGCTCTATTGGCGCAATGATTGTATGGAAAAAAAAATCGGTAAAAAAAATGTAAAAGAAAATGTAAGAGTAAATAATGTAAGCAAATAAAAAAATTAAGAAAAAAAATATAAAAAGATTAACAAAAATAAAGTAAAATAAATTATACAAATTAATACAAGCCAACTTAAGATGAGGTGGAATGAAATACAAATAAATAAATTAAAATTGGTTAAATCTTTTAAAATATAAAAAAACTGTATATAAAAAATTATAGTAAATTGAAATAAAACATAAAAATTAAACAGATTAAAAAAAAATGAACTAAAAAGTTAAATAAGAAATGAAATAAAAGTGAGAATCAGTATCCAAGTTTCTTGCTATGCCTCGTCGTCCCTTACGTAATTCATTGATTTTTTTTTAGCTGGAAAAACCCCCTCTAAAGGCACCAAAATACATGCATGTAAATATTTTTCAACAAGCGCACACGTAAGACGCCGCTCAGCGGGTTATCGCACATGCTGTGAAACGCAGTTAATACGCGCAACCTTCAACATACAAGTATGTGTATGTGTGCTTATCAGGAAAATGAGATTTTTAAAAAACAATTACGAGATGTTAAATTGCCATTTCGCACAAATAATACCCTCAGCCACTGCTGAAACGACACCCAGACGACTTTAGACAGCAGGAAAAGTGCTGAAGGAAAACTCTACGAGGATTGGGTATGTGCGCCTGCACGTATGCAACACTTGGCATTATGCACATGCAATAAATAAATATTTAATTACATTTATTACGGAAATCTAACTTAGAACGCTGATTACGAGCAAATGAAATTGCTTGTTTTTGTTTGCAAACGCTACGCTAATGTTGTTGTGACAGGAGGAGCGCTTCTTGAATGATTGCATTAGCGCTGGTTGCTTTTGTTTTTGCATTTCACGCAGTTTTGGCAGCATCGTTACAGCGCCTGTAATTGTGGGGTGTTGCTATGGCTGCGAGCATGACTCTAAGCTGCACTGTGTGTGTGTATGTTGTTGTTGCATGCAACCGAAAATTGCTAGATGCTTGTCGCTATTAGGGTGATGCCAACGCCTCTTCTAATTGCAAACTACTTTTGCTATCGCTGACAGTGATGTATTGCAATTGCATGTTTGTATGTATGTGTGCGTGTGTTTTGAACGGAAGCACTAGTTGATAATGAGCGTATGTAAGCGCTGAGCTGTGATAAACACTTACTGAATCTCGCACTCACACATAAGACATTTACGATTTTAATTTTATTATCAAACTTTGTTGTTGGCGATGTGAGGTGATTTTTATTTATAAAAATATGTTTACTTAATAATAAAGGCTTATATTTTGATCAACTAGACATAAATGGCAACTAAATGATGTTAAACCCAAGCAAAAACTAAGAAAAAATAATGAAAAAATATTGTGAAAAATATAATTTTTCATAAGATTAAAAAAGAAATTGATATATATATATAAATAGATTTATGAAATCTAATGCATAATTTTACCTTTGCATATTTTATTAAATAATGCTTGCTAATAATAACTGAAGAAAGAAAATTTGAAGTAGCCTACATTTCGGCGTCACACCATTCATTTTCCCCATCTGCTTTGAACAGTTTCACTGTTTTGATCCTTATCGGCCTCGAGGGTGACGTTGCAGCAGTTGCAAGCAAGATCTTAGATAGTAGAAAGGGGTATAGCATGGTGAGATAAACTTTGAGAAATACTTTACAAAAATGCTACAACAAAGCAAACAAACAAAATGCATTCACAATACCTAAACAATAAATCTGAAAATTAAAAAAAAAAAA